TTTCATAAAAGCACAAGCACACAAGCATTTTTAGTACTTCTTGATCATTTCACTCCAAGGAAGCCGTTGAAATAAAACATGAGTTACATCCACACTTCTGGGAAAGAACCATCGTTCTATTTCTATCCCAAGCCATGTAATGAAGGCAAGAATACTGCAGAGCCAGAGAAAGTTTTTAATGTTATCTTCCTCTAGTGATTTTATCTCCATCACCACCAAAGATGAATTGTGGTATAAGCCAACTTGGGGATCTTCCTTAGGTCAAAAGGCAAGGCTATTCATCTATAAGAAGGACGGACGGACGGACAGATGGACAAGGACAAATGGACAGCAGGCTATCATACTGTTGGTGGCGATGGTATCTAACAAACATGTGTAAAATGTAAATAGTGTACAAGATCTTCCCCAGAATACCAGGTAGAGGAACATTGTAGAGCACGACACAGTTGTGACAATGAACTGGTATGCTTGCGGGAAATACCGTAATGAGACAATGAGACCCTGCTAGTCCAGGGAAACCTTTGCTGAAACAGTTCATTTGAGGAAGGGTTTGAAAGAAGAGATTCTTCTGGCCCAATGTTTCCATCTTTTTGGTGACAGGCTTCTCGGTCTTAACAGTTGCATTGTGCAGCAAAGTGCATGCAAACAGCACTGTGGGGAGCAGAGAGTTAATATCCTGATTAGGGGCTCGCGCGCGAGCCCCCCCCCCCCTCTCTCCCTCTCTCTCCCTCTCCCTCCCCCCCCCCCCCTCTCCTGGAGCATCATGGAAAGAAGACCTGATGTCATCTTCACTTTGGCTGGCTGCAGTTAAAAGCTCTAGGGCTGAGTTGTGATTTTCATCAAGAATAAACAGCTTAAATTCATTCCTAGCAAGCTGGGTCTGGCCTTTGAGGAAGCAAGTAAACACATGGCAGTAGGAGATAATTCAGCAGGGGAAGATTTCCTGGGCTTCCAAACTGGATTGTCGTATTACCGGCTGTAACAAAGGTGCCCCATGAGATAAATGCTGGCAAACCTACTAAGGAGAAGCTTGAAGTGACAGTAGGGAACAGATAAGCTCTAGTACACAAAGTACAAGTTCATTTATTTGTTTCCTCACAAGAGGAAAAAGGGTAGGATATAAATACAATGTAACAACAACAATTTACTTGTATCGACACATCACAGAGACTTCAGTGCTGAAGCTTAATATACATTATCTTTAAGAGATAATCCTCTACCTTGACTGAACCTGCTGAAAAATGTTCAACAAGATCAGTAAGTATCTTATAAATCACCAAATTATTGGAGTTATTTTACCAAGAATAATGGAGCATGTATTTGACTTGGGCTGCAGTTGTATGTACACTTACCTGGTAATAGGTCTTACTAAGGCATATTTTTGAGCAAATATATTTAATATTTGGGCCAATGGGTCAAGCATTTTTTGACTGGACCCTGAGGAATCCAAAACCCTCTGCACAGAGCTACTTGCCTTTCTTTAGAAAAACAATTATTCACCGGACTCCCCATTTAAAGGAAACAAAAATCCATTGGCTGCATTTAAAGATTTTCTCTTTTACAAGGAATGCAAACTTTTACAATGAAACAGAGGAACACTTATCTGTAATCTGCTTATCTGTAATCAACACTGCTATTAAAAACAGCCTGTCCTGGGCCTGTGCATTTGACAGCAGTGTGATCTGAAGAAATCAGAACATTTATAAAATCTAACCCTAATTAGAAATCCCCATTCAGTGAAGGTGACTGGAATGATCAGGGCCACGACCTGCTTGCAAGCCTTGCCTGCCCTGGTTGATCAAGAAATCTAAAAAGGGGACTTGTGCTTGGATGCAAGGGGTTGCCAGCTCCTCTCTAAGAGAGGGAGTGGTGCTGACTGGTTTAAAAACAGCGGTGACTGCACTACTCTTGAAAAAAACAGACCTATAGCTTATATCCCCTTTCTGGGCAAGGTGATCAAGTGGGTTGTAGTCAGGCAGCTTCAAGCACTCCTGGAAGAAATGGATTATCTAGACCCATTTCAACTGGGCTTCAGGCCTGGCTTTGGAACAGAAACCATCTTGGTCACCCTGTGGGGAGAGAGACAGGAGAAGTGGAAACTTTTGATCCTCCTGGACCTCTCAGCCGCTTTCAGTATCATTGACCATGGTATCCTGGAGAGGTTGGCTGAATTGGGAGTTGGGAGCACCGCTTTGCTGTGCTTCCACTATCTCAGCATCTTCAGATGGTGGTGCTGGGAGACTGTAGCTCTGCACCATGGCCTCAGAGCCATGCAGTTCTCCAATGTTTATCAACATCTACATGAAACCGCTGGGAGAGGTCATACAGAGGTTTGGGCTGAAGTGTCATCAATATGCTGATGACACTCAGCTCTACCTCTCGTTTTCATCCAATCCAGGTGAGGAAGTGACTACTCTAAAACATTGTCTGAGCTCAGTAATGGAGCTTGGTCATGGACTAGATGTGGACCAATAAGCTGATGCTCATTACAGACAAGATAGAGGTATTGTTGGTAGGAAGTCCATCTGTTCAAATGGGGAACCTTCAACCTGTCTTGGACGAGGTTGCACTCCCACTAAAGGACAAGGTTTGCAGCCATGCAGTGCTCCTGGACCCCAAGTTGTCACTTGTCTCTTAAGTGGACTTTGTAGCCAGGAGCATTTTTCACCAACTTCGGTTGGTGTATCAGCTGGTCCCTACTTGGATGAGCAGAGTCTCACAACAGTTATCTATGCACTGGCAACCTTGCACCTGGATTACTGTAATGTGCCCAAAATGGGGCTATTTTTGAAAATGGTCTAGACGTTGCATCTGATGCAGAACAGGATCGCAAGCCTGCTGACTAGGACTGGCTTTCTTGAGCATATTACCCCAGTCCTTGGCAGGTTGCATTGGCTGCCAATTGCTGTCCAGAACCAATTCAAAGTGCAAACTTTAATATACAAAGCAGCTTGGGGCCAGGATATCTGCAGGATCACCTTTCTCCATCTATTCTTGCCTGATCACTAAGGTCTTTATCAGGGGCCCTTCTCTGGGTCCTTCCCCACGAGAGCAGGAAGATGGCTAGCAGGACGGCCTTCTCTGTAGTAGCACCCCACTATTGGAACCTTCTTCCAAAAGAAATCTGGCATGGGTCTTCACTCTTCTATTTCAGACACCAGCAGAATAATTTTTATTTCGCAATCATGTTAGTGAGTGGTTTATAATGTTAGTGAATGGTTTTATAATTTGCTGTTGCTGCTATGTTGGGCATCTAGATGCCAGATGATATTTAGTCTTTATTATATAAATGACTGTTTTAAATGACTTTATTATTAATGGATTAATTTTATTGCTCTTCTATTTTCAGCTCTTTTATTCTTACTGTTTTATTAATTTAAATTGTTTTATTGGAGCTTTATTGTTGTTTATGTAAGCCTTCAGCCAAGAGGTGCAGGCAGGCAGGCAGGCAGGCAGGCAGGCAGGCAGGAAGTAAATAAATAAATAAATAAATAAATAAATAAATAAATGTTCTAAGACTCCCTTAAAGCACTTTAAGTCAATCACCTGGTTGGAATGTAAAAATAACTGCAGTGTAATGAACATAATAAGCCCCCTTCTCATGGGCATGGTTGCAAGGAATAGATCAGAAATTTTCACTCCCATTCTCAACTGACCACAGTTATGTTCAGATCCAAAACTGCAGTCAACTATGATTCAGGGCAGGGGTGTGAAATCTTGAGGACCAACTTCCATTTCAGAAAAGCTCTTGGAGGTTGCATTCCAGTGGTGAGTAGGAATGAAGATGAAAAAGGGCAGGGCCAAAATACTAGCCTGTTTTATTTTAGAGCTCTTGCTGCCTATAGCTAAAATTTGTAAGAGGCACGTCAATCTTTTAGAACGCAAAAAGCTGAACAAATGCTGGAAAACCACCAAACAATTGGTGGTTGGAGAATGGGACCAGATTTGGTTTTCAAGCAGGCCAGTTTTGGCCCACAAACCAGAGGTTCAACACTTCTCACTTGGGAAACTAATGTGAAGTTAGTTTATTTCACTTACTCATAATTAAGACTAATCACGCATCCTGCTTTGGGATTACTAATGGACCATAGTTCATGGGAACGAGAACAGTTCTGATCTCCTCATGGCCACATCAGAGGACAAGAAGGGCATGGGTAGCTGATGAGACCAAGGCTTATTCATGTAAGTTAGGGCTACATGCAAATGAAGCCACTAAGTCTTGCTTTAAACACCGAATAAGCAAAAGTTCTGACTGAGTTGTGCATAGTTAGAAGAATTCTACTGAATTCAGTCAGACTTCCTCCCAAGCAAATGTACCCAGCCTGCATCTTCAATCTATTCCTGCTATCATAGCTAAGTGATGATGTATGATGAACTCAGGCAACCAAGTGCCTCAATTTGTGTTTGCATCCTTTTGGGCAACACTGAAACCCATCAGCAAAGGCTCCCACAAGCACCAATACACCCTCCCCACACCGGACACCTTTTTAGTGCCGGCCAAGGTGGACTACCCCTGGCTTTTCTTCCTGGCAGCTGGGATTGCTGTGGAATACTGCAATGTTGGTGCCGAAAACTGTGGTTTCAAAGGAGTTATTAGCATGTCAGGCCTCAACCTCCAACTCTGCCTCATACACAGTCTTTTGGGAAGGTTGCTTGTCCTTTGCCTCTCTTCCCTTGTCAGCCATTTTGAAGTGGCACCTAGGACAGGTTTCCCAAATTGTCCAGGACCCCAAAGGCTGCCTATTCCTGAGCCAGAGCTTCCATCCACATTTGTTTTCCTGGGATACTTTTTACAGGGTTCCTTCATGCCAAGGGATATTCAAACAAAACCATTTCAAAAAGCAAAGGTCTATATTACAGTGCGCACACTCCTAAAAAAATAAGCTCAGAAAGTCAGTGCATGTGTGCTCGGGGCTGCCATGTTCTCTGGGAAAACATTTTTTCTTTTCTTTTTTGGGTGGGGGGGAATGAAAGAAGTCTCACGTACAAAAGGTATTGTTTATTATAAAATGTTTGAAACACACAAAGCAAATTTCCTAAGAGCAATATAAAATGTCGATGCATCCTTGTTAAAAACTTGTTTTCCAGCAACATGTTAAGTACCTTTTTGTTCACAATGGCATCCTCATGTACAGATTGTACCAATCCATGCAGAATGGAGGACGGAGAAAGTAAGGTCTCTGAAGGCCACAGGAAGCAATGTCCGAAGCCCCCCTTTTCCAGAGTTATGCTTGCTGTTGTTCATCTGTTTTCTTCACAATAATGCACCAGTTACCATGATCGTAGCTTGAACTGAGTATGCGAACCTCAGGTACATTCTCCTTTAGCAAAGAGCACAGCTCTCCTTCCCGGAAAACATGGTAGTAACGCATGAAGGCCTTTGTATCGTGTCCTTGAGCAGCATGGTCTCCCACAGCCGCAGCTGAATCTACAATAGACTCGCTGGAGCTGGCAGACGAGGTCCTTTTAAAGTGCTTTGCAGTAAAAGAATGATTATTGCCTTGACCAAAACAGTCGCTTATGTTGTCTATAGGTCCACTCAGAAATGAGGCTTCTTCATTGTTGCTCTGGACCAAAGCAGACGGTTCACCATTAAAATCTCTCAGTGACCTCGAGGCCGTCAGCCATTCCATCTTTTTACAATCCACATGCCTGATAAACACTTCATCATAGGCATCAATCCGTTGCTCCTTCAGCAATGGACCTCTGCACCCCAAGTCTAAGCTGCAATGCCTTGATGGCTGAGCAGATACAGCAGTGCTGTGCAACCATCCAGCTGTGTTCTTCAAAGGCTCCACCTTTTCATTCTGCTTTCTCAAGGTCGACTCATCTAGAGATCTGGATGAAAACCAAGAACGAAAAGATCTCCCCAGAGCATTGTAAAATCGGTTTTCTTCTTCTTCCCCTCCTTCTTCTGAAATTTTCACACAGCAGGCTTCAGCAAAGCAGCCATCTGGTCTTTTGGGATGTTTCTGATCAAGGGTAATAGGGTAGCTATATTCGGAGCCCATTGGTTGGCAAGAATGCAATGTCTGAGATTTTGTGCCATATGCAGGATCAGTCTTACGTCCATCTTTATTGGACTCAGAAAGCAACTGGGAGCACAAGGCTTTGTTCCATGGAACAAACACATCTTGTTTCTCAAAGCGCCGATTCTTTTGCTCCATGGCCCAAACATAAATCATCATTTGGCCTCCAGGGACCAGAACTCTGGCCATTTCTTTTATGGCCTTGATTCGCCTTTGTTTTGTGGAGAAATGGTGAATCACTATGAAAGAAGCAAAAGCATGTTTTCTGTTCAGGCACTCTGAGCTACAAATATAAAACTCAGCATCAAACAAGCTCAGCTCCATAGCCCATATAAATAATGCAAATGTCTGCATAATGACTATCATCATGCATAATGTCCATTACTCTACATAATTTATTCTGTAATGGTACCATTTGACATCATATGCCCTTGTTTTGCAAGTTATGGGAAGGCTATGCAGGGCAAGGATCCTGGTCCTCTGGCACCAAGAAAAGTTAATTTGGAGAGGTCTCGGGTTTCTGAGATTTCAGCAGGCACTGTTCCTGCCATAACTTAATTACTTAATTAGTGCATTGTCATATCAATCATATAATGAAACAAATGCACACTACAATGAAATTTGCTGGCTGAGGGATGCTAGGAGCTGCAGTCAAGCACACCTAGAGGGAATGAGGTTGGGGAAGGGTGACATAGAAGAAACCAGACTAAATGAAGGCAGTGCCCTATATTTTATTCTTCCTATACTGACTGACAAAATTGGCAAACATCATGTACAATAGTATAGTGTATCTTTTGAATATTTCCTCATCCTTCAGAGATTCCTGTTTTCTCCTCTTACCTCCCACAGAGATGATTGTATCGAAGCACTGGCTCCGAAAGGGGAGATTAAGATTATCACAGATCATCACTTCACAGCCTTTACTTCTTGCAATCTCAACCAAAGGGCTGCAATAATCACATCCAAGGTTATATACCTGGCTGTTAACACAGAGGTATTTTCCAGTCCCACAACCTTAAAAATAAGCACACAACAAGAACAGACTATGTTAGATGTGTAGCAGGAAAATAACATAAAGTCCACACACCTCTAATGTTGACCTGTTCACCTGAAATTAAAGCACAATAAAATTATGTGTGCAAGCATCCTTGGAATGGACACTATATTTATATATTACTCCTTGCATAAATCACAACAAAAATCACTTTTAAATAATTATGTCAGAACAGTCTCCTTCACATACTGCTTTAGAGCACCGAATGCCCAGCTATGCAAACAGCTAACCTTTTGGATAGCCACCCAACAGGGTTGGCACAGTCAGGTACCTACCAATGGTCCACAGTCTGGCATTATTGACCTAAGCTGCTGGACCAGTTTTTCATTTCTCAGAGGGAGAACTGATGGGCAGCAGCAAAATAAAACTGTGAAAGCCCTCCCATTTCTGCTCACACACTGCTACTAAGAAACAACACACTGCCCTGCAGAGTCCTCAGGGATTAGATCTGTTTCTTGTTGGAAACAGCAGTGTAAGGGAGCAGAGTAACATGCTTCTTTTACCCTCAGGAGTTTCTGGAAGTCACTGGTTAGCAACTTCCTGGAAGATTGCTTCAGAGGTTCCTGCAATACAGGGCATCCTTCCCCAACGTGATGCCTTCTCAATTCTTTGGACCACAGTTCCTATCATCTCTTACCTTGGAATATACTGGCTGGAACTGATAGTAATTGTAGTCAATAGCTGGAGGAAACCTGGAGACCATAATATCTGTAGTCCATAATACCTGGAAGGAAGGCTGCTCTAGGTTGTTTGCATTATTTCCTAGTTTAAAAGATACCTGGAAAGAGCAGAGTTGCTACTCAAAAAAGCCCCAGAGAAATCTTCATGGACTCCAAGTGTCAAAAGAAAATCAGCTTGCAAGCCAGCAAGCTCCTATTTCCTGCTGGAAGATGTTGCAAAGTAGCAACACACTCATGGGCACTGTAGGCTATTCTAAAAAAATATAAGGTCTTTTGGATCCCTGGCATGGATCAGGGATCTTGAAATTATACCAGGCAGATGGGATTCTACTCTTATACGATGCTTTGGGGGGGGGGGGAGCAGAGGGCTTCTTCTCTAAAAGGCAGCCCAGAGATATATTAAATATAGAAATTAAATCTTACATTGGCCTCATACAATCTGGTGTGTGCCTTGGCTACTGGCATTAAGAAAGAAAGAGCTCTGGGATCCTTCTTAAACAGCAAAACGATCTACCATGCAAAAACCTTCCCAGTTAGTGCCAGTGTTTATATCTAAGAGTGCAAGAGCCCTGCTGAAGCAGACCAGGGGCCATCTAGCCCATCATTCTGCTCACACAGTAGTCCACTAGTTGAATGCACAAAGCCCTCCAGCAGGGCATAGGTGCAACAGCACCCTCCTGCCCATGTTCCCCTCTAACTCGTATTCATAGGCACACTGCTTCTGATAACAGAGGCAACGTTTAATCATTAGGACTAATAGCCATTGACAGCCTTATTCTCCAATAACCTTTCAAAGCCATTTCAATCAGCAGCCATCATTACATTTTGTGGAAAAAAATCCATTGCTTAACTACACATTGTATTAAACAATATTTCCCTTTACTTGTCCAAAATCTCCCACCAAGCAATTTCATTGGATGACCACAAGTTCTGGTAGCATGAGAGAGAATGAAAAAATCCAATCTGTCTTCTCATACTTTGCCAAGGTATAATTTTGTATACCTCTGTCATGTCTCTCCTTACTTGTCTTTCCTACGCTAAACAATTAGCATGGATGTTACCAGATGTTGTAATAAGGAAACTGTTTTAGGCCCTTGATGCAGTGGCGTGCCCAGAACAATATATGCTATTCTAAGTGTGGTCACACCACAGATTTGCATAAGGGGGAAACAATCTTGGCTGTTTTATTTTCAATGCCTTTCCTAATTATGCCTAACACAGCATTTGGCTTTTTCACAACTGCTGAACACCGGGTCAACATTATCATGGAGCTGTCCATCACAGTCACAAGATCTCATTCTTTGCCATTTCTGGCTCAGATCCCACCAGCGATATGTATTTTTGCCTCAACCTGCATCACTTTCAACAAATCAAGCTATTTTTCTCTACTGTCTTGCCAAACATAATAGAAACACATGGAAGCTGTAACAAAATGCTGGAGTGTTCAAAATACTGCATTCCACTCCTTTCCATTTACCATTCTCCCACCTGCATCCCAATAGTGAGTTAGCTTTCTGTACCACTGAGCGTTTTTGTTCCCCCTTGGTTTCTTTCACACTCCCTGAAGGTTTTTTGTGCTTCAGCAAAGCTTTAGATTCCTCCATGTCTGCTACCAGCACCCTTTCAGACTTGGTAAGACCATTTACTCTATATATGGAGTAAACTCAGAGAACTGGAATTACCAATAAAGCTATTTAAAAAAAAAATAGAAACTGGTGATGTAATGAAGGTAGCATCTTTTTCTTCTGCTTTAGTTACATACACAGACAGACTCGTCTCTGTGCATCTTACATATTACTAGCAAGTGAAAGAGGCCATTGCAGTAGTACTGAAAAGAATAACATACCTATATCAGCAACAAGGCTTCCTGGCTCTTGCTCTAGCAGAAATTGACGAACACGAGGCCATGCTTTGCCCTGTAGGTCATCGAAACAGGTGGCTGTGCTTTTATAGACACTGTGCACATGCTGCTTTTCAAGCTGGGAAGCCTCATGTTCCATCCTAGAGAGAACAGTGAGCAGAACATGCATCAAACAACATGAGTCACGTGTTAAATTCTAGAATCAAAACACAGACGGGGCCAATCCTCCACAGGGACCTTGAGTAGCTCTGCTGCTTAGAACTCTTCAACCTGTTACAAAGAAAGAATCCCTGCATACGTTCCATTCCAATCCGCATCTCTCGCTGCCCAGCCATTTCTACATGCAGAAACAGACTCATTCCCTCTAAAGCTTTCTTCATTGCAGAACATGTCGTCAGCTGTTGCCTTCCCTCAAAGGCCTGGGTTAGCAGTTCTCCCTTCTCTTTCTAAGAACAACCTGTTCCCTACTTTCTGCAGCAAAGCCTTGTGTGGAGTTGCAACCAGACCCCTTCTTCCATTCCTGTTTCCCCTCCCATTGGTAATGCGGAAAAAATGGAAGAAGCAGTGGGAAAACATGGGAGGGTTACATTTTATGTAAGCCATCCCGAGGCTATGCAATGGGACAGCATACAATAATAATAAATAAATAAATAAATAAGGGATTATCCGGATACCCTGTAACATTCCAGAAGTAAGGGACTCTGAGGACTCCATCTCCTACTATTTTGCCCAATGTTAGCTTGGTAACACCACAGTTGCTGCTGTACTGAGTCACCAGGGCTTTACACTGCTGCTGCTGCAAGCTTTCAAGTCAGAAGGGTGTAGGTCACCTGCATTGTACGAGGGTCACCCCAGCAATACAACTGAACTGCTACAGAGCCAAACTCTCTGGACCACTCATGGACCAGCTGCCTCCCACTGCCCTTTCCAGCATCCTATCCCTTGTTGCAATTTCTCTGAGAATGAGCTAGGAAAGCTTGGTTGTTTGTCACTGTTACTTTTAATTTCATTTCTATACCAGCTGATCACCGTGCAGTTCACAACTCACAAGTGTAGGTACAATAATAAAAACAGAATCAACATGCAAACAAGAGTAAAATGCAGTGTGAAATTCAAATATGCAAAATTCCCCACCCACATATTCTAGAGTTTTACATGACAATGCAATGAAAGAACTGACTTCCAAGCCTTATATTTACTAATTTGTTTTTCCTCTGTATCCAAAGGGGTCAGGACTGGTTAACTAAGAGTATCTACTTTTTCGTTCACAAAATTCCTACCATGTAAGTTAAACAGAGTATGAGTTTCCCAAGTGCATTGACAACATCCAGAGATCTATTCTATTGCCTTCAATCCTACATCTTCCCCCCAGTTTTGTATTCCTTACAAGTGTCCCTCCCAGACACACTTTATGGGAATATGGGAGACAGCCTTCTTGGTAACTGCCCCAAGGCCCTGGAATTCCTTTCCCGTGAGACTAGATTGGCATCCTCCTGGCTATGTTTTTGGAGGCAGCCAAAAACATTCCTGTTCTGCAGGCCTGTGAGATTTCATGGGATTAGCTCTGTTGTTTTTACTGTTTTTATTGCTGTTTTATTCTTTGTACAACATGTAATTTTAATCTTTCTGTTTTTTATTTATATTTTAATTTTTGTACATTTCTATTAATGATTTAATTGTACTCATTGTTTACTATTGTAAGCCACTTCGACTGCATTGCTAATATGTGGAATATAAATAAATAATGTGATCAATTTGCCAAACTTGGTGGTTTATGGGGTATTTCTTACTCATGTCTCAATCATCCATTTTCCAAACAAGGTCCACATTCAATTAGCCAGCTGCGATTTTCATCCCATACGCCCTGCGTCTTTGGTATTGCTGCTGTTTAATTTCTTGCCTTGCCATCCTGGTTTTAGTGTTCGGTGCAAATCATAAGTCACTTAAGCTTTCTTGTGCTTAAGCCAGCTCAATCTCATAGGAATTCAATGACCGTAAGTCTTCTTAAGTGGTTCATTATTAGCAAAGCGTCTTTTTCATTCCATTGCAAAGCTTTCTTTTCAGGCCTGCACATCTTGAACCAAAATGAGAAGAGCACAGCTTCTCACGCTAAGTGCAAAACACTTTACAGAATTTGAGGTGAAGTCCTCAAAGCAGAGCTCAAAGTCAACACAAATGTTTTCCAATCAGGGTTTCTTAAACTGGGTTGTCTGGTGGAGGTTTTGCAGAGGAAGCATAATAGATGGATGGGTGTGATGTTGCCTGCAAGAGGTGGTAAAACATAATTTAAGAGGGGATTGGAGGAGCATATATCACAAGATTATTTGGAACCACAGATACAAATCATAAGACTATTCCTCAGCTACAGACCTTTGTCATTAAAAGAAGCACAGAATCAATGCCTTGTTTAATGAAGAGAACCTTGCTGCCAAGACTAAAAGCCCACTGACTTGGGACTCCCTGAGAACCAAACGAGAGAAAGAGGTTCATGTGGCAACCCCATACTTGAAAAGCTAGCATGGAGCGGTGCTTACAGTGATGGGCCAGGACTCAGGAGAGTCCCTCTCAGCCATTAAATTCACTTTAGGCCAGTCACTCTGGCCAGTCAACCTCCTTCACAGGGTTGTTGTGAGAATAAAATGGAGAGGAGGAAGAGAAAGCGGCGGTGGCAGTGATGGAAGAGGAGGAGGTAAGCCACCTTGGACTTCTTAGACAAAGAGTGGGATATAGACATAATAATAAATCAAATCAAAGTTAGAAGAAGACAAGAAGATGTTATGGGGCTGTATATCCTAGTCTCACCCCCAGTGCTGATACATGTGGCCATGCCTTCTGGGCAGAAATTCTTTCCCACCAGCTACCTGCCCAGACCTCATGGAAAAGGGCTTTTCATGCAGACTAATGTACACAGGAGTGGTGACTGGGGGCTGACTGGCTTAGGTCCTGCCTTGAAATAAGGCACTCTCCATTGGTGTGCTGGTACGCATGGAGAGCTATTTCCCATACTTGCAGACAGAAGAGAGGTATTTTGGCCAAGGTCTTAGAAGTGGATCATGTGAATGGTATGTTTTAAAAGCAGCTGAAGGATCTTCATCGACTGACAATCCATTTCCTGAATGGCTCTGAGTTTGGGTAGTATGTGCATGAGAAAAAAATCCTCTCCATTTGCTTTCTGTGTTTATGAAAAATGACCAACTAGAACAGCAAAGAAGTTTTTCATGTTATGAGACATAAGCACAGAAAGCAAGGGGAGAGGATTTTTTGCTCATGCACATACTGCCCAGACTCGGTGTCATTCAGGAAATGGATTGTCAGCTGGTGAAGGCCAAAGCAAAGGACAAATCACATCTTCACACAAGGCAAAGGTAATTTATTTGGGGGAAAAGATTTTCACCAATTTGTTGAAATTACAGAGATATCCTGACTTCCTTGGACAGTTGTATGAGGGGATTAGGTTGCAGTTGGGGCTGCAAAGGCCCATCCAGCAGCAGGGTGGGCATCTTCATTGCAGAAGCTCCTGTTACATGTACAGAAAGCTCCACGGGCATAAATCAAGGTGCACTACCTTTGGCCATGTGACGCTAGTTTGGAGGTGAGCGTGCACACACAAACAAACATTTCATTTACCTTAATCCATTTCATTACCCTTCAACAACCAAAGTTCCCTGGGTAGTTCACAAAAATTTAAATCTGAAATACATCGTTATCGTTACCAAATAAAATCATATTATTATAACAATGTTATCATTATCAAATAACATATTATTATCATATCATTATATAACAATTATAAGACAATTCCAAGCAGGTTAAAACAACTAACGATAAAATAGCAAGACCCAATAGAGCAGCTGATATTAAAAGTACCATCATATGCCACAAATGCCTGGGAGTACATGACATTCTTAACCTGGTATCCAAAATATGCCAGGTGGGTCTCAATGCTGGGAGCATTCCACAATTGGGGGGCCACCACCAGGAAGTCCCTTCTACTTGTTGCCATAATGCAAGCCTCCCTCAGAGGAAGAATTCAGAAGAGGGCCTCAGAAGCTAATTGTAATATTCATCTTAGGATAGGTGCTCTGTCAGGTATTGTGGTCCTGAGCCATGAATGTCTTCACAGGTCAGAACCAGCAGCTTGGAAAAATACTGCCGACGAAAGCAGGCCAAGATTGGTCTTAAACTCTCAGACTTTCTTTTCCCCGTTACTAATCTGGCTGCAACACAAAGGGCAGCCCCATGCAAAGCACATTGCAGCAGTCTTATCTGAAGGTTACCAGAGTATAGACTGCTAAAGCCAAGTAGTGTATACTGTCCAAGTAAGAAAATACACACAGCCATGATCCTTGTTGTTAACAAGTGTGGGGAGAAAGCAATCTCTGGGGAAGGGAATAGAGAACGCTCTCTCCCGCACAGCAATAGAAAAACAATTCTATCTCCTTGTTCAAAAGTCTTTGTATGAGCCGGAAAGAGGGCATTTTTAGCCTGCATGCAAAGTGAAAACACATTAGGTACAATGAATACTCTAATATATGTTGGTCTTTTCTACAAGGAAGTGAGTCATTAGTCCTCAACATGTAATTATAGCTGAAATGGTGCATTGCTGGGTCTGCTTAAAAGTCAGCTCTTTCTGTAGAACCCCTCAATGGCAAAGAGGGTGATACCCCATCCAGAAGGGCAGTGCCTAGCACGGTTAAGATAGATGGCAACTCCAGAGTTTCAGAATGCTCTGATATAGCAATGCAATGTAAACAACCCTGGTGCCTTGTGCTACTAGCTGTCTGCATTTGTTCTGCCAGAGTACCCTATCTGAATAAGAAAGGGGGTGTTTCCGCTTCAAGGGAAATGTAGCATGAATGAGGTTCCTGATCAGTTCAGTATCTGTCTCTTAGAACACAGGATGCCCTGCTCCAGGCAAGCAGCAGAACTTTCAGCACTCGTGGTACAGGAAGGTGCTCAAATTTTATAGGTGCTAAGGCACAAATTAAAGAAAGGTTTGTACAATGCAGCCCTGATGCAGATGATTAAAATCATGTGTGGACAACAAAGCTTCACTTGCATTGGTTCATTATTCTGCCCATTGATTAGTTAATGGGCAATATTTGTGGGGTGTCTGCAAGAGGGCATGCACTCATCATT